GTGATCACATCTTCTTCTTCTGAACTGCTTATTGCAACTCGCATATTCGCTTCTATCGGCAAAAAGTAGCATATTGTGAGACTTCACAGAGGACACTGGGGAAAACCCACCGGACTTCCAGCATGGAGATCGGAGATTGCGTCTCGTGCACGTCGGTTGCAGAACGTTGGAGCTTTCTGTGTCTGGAGATGGTCAGGTCTAGGTCTGAGCGCTGGAGACGTTTGGTGCTGCGACGTGGCAAGCAAGCCGACGGAACAATAGGACGTCCAAGCCCAGAAACGTCGGTCTGACTGCGGCTGATGAGCATGGATTGCGGTCGGCTCAGGGAGTGCGTAGAGTCCGCTATCTGCTCCGAAGGATTTCTCCGATGTGCCCTCTTTGACACTGGCGTCTGCAGACGTCGCGAGGGCAGCCTTTCTACCTAGTAGTGCGCAATAGTCAAACATTAGATAAGCCGGCGCCTGCTGAACTAAGGAAAATTCCATCGCGACTTCAAAGTTAACCAGTTTGCATGCGCAAAGGGTAAACGGGTTTTTATATTATCCTACATCAGCAGAGGTTAGCAGGATGACATGTTGGTATACAGTATGTCTACGAATAAGTACAAAGGTCGTGACGAAATTTGACTTTGGTAGTTTGGCATGTATTCGGTCACGTTATTTTTGTCCACTGAGGGGAATTCATCTTGAGAAAGCCTTTTTGTAAGGAAAACTGCCCTTTTATTTAAGTGTTTTTATTAATCTTAGGAATAACCATATCAGATCTTTGTTGCGGATGTTTTTTTTTGCTCGAAAACGTGTTTTTCTCTCTGCAGGAATTTCTAATTATGACCCACATAGCCATCTTCATAAAAAGTGATATCTCAAAACTCGCTTTCTTGTAAATGCTTTAAACGATATCCTATTTTAAAGGTTTTGATATAAACGTCGAACGGAATCTCGATTCACGGACGACAGCTTGAAGACACTTAAAACGCTCGAATGTATGCCGGAATTTAAAGGACAACATTAAATACATTGTAATTCAATAACTTTAATATGATTAAAGATTTTGACTAAGGAAAAGTGGTATCGTTAACCTTTAAACTGAGGATAAGGATTAAATTTATTGCTCTAATCTATAGCTATTTTATGTCTCCGGAACGTGGGGATTATTAAGAAATTTTCATTTATTTTAACACACAATTAGTACTTCTTTTATTAATTTAAATAATGGATTTGCACAAGGTTGTTCATGAATATTTCTAAGTTTTTGTACATGTATTTATGCCGGTTTACGAGTAACAATTCATCGTTCCCAAACTTCGGCATTTTGCACGAAAGTCGTCAGTATTCAATAATTAGCCTACACGAACAATCCATCAGTTGGTTAGAGCGTTGACTGTACTAAAGCCTACTCGCTGGCGTGGATATGAATCCCACCGAGGCTGCCAAGATTTTCACAATTGGGTCTAATGAATCAAATTACATTAGATGATCTAACTCACACAGAATTCCGAAATTCACGAAAGATTGATTGTCACTCGCAACCCGGCATTAACGGATGTACGGAAATAATAATGAAAAGCCATAAGCGAATTTAAAACTTAAAGCGAATATGAAACACAATGTAATGAATGGGGTTCTAGCATTGAGAATTCAGTTCGTAGGCGGAATTAAAGTACCATGTAAAGACTGTTCCTGTAATTTTAGCGGCCAGCTAGATAAGATCCAAAGGTTATCCCCGATTGGCCAATGCAAATTTAAACAAAAATTCATTAAAAACTTATTCCACTTCTGCCGGTATGAAGTGAACAAAATTTCTCCTGTGGGCTCTAATAGTGCTTTAACGGGAAAGAAAGGAGTCAACTGCTCGGTTTATAGCCTTAAGTACTCCCATTTGGAACTGAATATAATCCCTCATAAAGGTCTTTTCCCCGTATGTCTCGTTGACAGACATGAATAGGATTGAATGTAAAATTATATTTACTTTTAATCACAGTAAATCGGTCAAAAAGGAGAAAGTTCTTCGTTTGTCTGGACCACCCTTCAAAATGGGAACGTGTGAACGTTAGACAAGCACTGGTTGGTGTAGAATACGTTAGAAGTTCTTCGGCGTTCACAGAACTCAGTTCTTGAATTTTCTGTTCGTTGCTTTGAGTCTCGCCAAAGTTAACTGCCACAGTGATTGAATGAAAATCCGGCAAATCTCGAAATGCTTGAGGGGCGTCCACGCAATGACACATATTAGTCAGATGTACCCAAATGGAGATCGAACTCACCCCTTCCTTCAATACGTGACAGAACGTCTAAGCAGTATTCTTCAATCCGCCTTTAAATAACCAGCGTCGTCCAATTGGTACAACTTAATCCACAGGAACAGGTGAGTGCATAGATGTATCCTCAAACAGCCTTTTCTCACCGTCTCCGATATGCTCACCGCTGAGATCTCAAACAAACGTTTAAGAGGCCGTAAGAGCTTAATCTACGATCAGCCATCCGTTTCGTTCCAATACTTTACTAGGTGCGCCCCCTCTGAATGGTTCTAAAATAACCTTATATTTCAGCTCAGATGATTGCGATTTGGGTTTAGCAGAACGATCAATCACATAATTTCCTCCATAGTATGCTAAAATACCCAAGTGCAAAAGTCAAGGGTTTTCGCCAGCTCTTTTATTCAAACAAATACGGAAGTTAGCAGACCGTTCTGTTCTGTTTATATTTTGCCTGGTATAATGCTGCCCTCGATTAACTACAAATTGCGCTGACTAAGAAACACATTCAAAAAGTGGCAATTTTTCATTTCCTCCATTTGTTACAAGCTACGGAAGGATGGCTCGTAAGTATCTTCTGGAACAGCCCTATAAAGGTGTAGATGGCAACGAACTTCCAAATAAAATAGTGGATGAGGGGATATAACAGAGACCATTTCCGCGTCTATCCTGTCACAACTGACTGCAACTGTATCATGGCCTGGAATTGAAGCAAGTTCACCGCTTGATCTACCACGAGTCAGCTTTTCATTTAAAAGCATTAAAGCAAACCACCCAGGCGATAACACAATCGTTTATTTACATATTAGACAACTGAATACTGTGAAAGGCGGTAGTTCTATTCGTTTACAACGGAAGATTAACAGTATAAAAAACAGTCCTTTTCCCAAGGGGGTGGAGA